CCAAACGAACACTAGTGACAGTAAAACACCAAGAACTGTTATTCCTTTTCACACACACACACACACACACACAAATAATGGTGGCAGATAATCAAATAATAAAGACTTATTTTTACATGGTTCCTTCCACAACAAAATGCTATAACCTCACAACACTTGTACTATAGTGCATTTGTAAACTACATTGCATCACATAACCAGCTCCATATATTTGGCTCTATTGATGTTGTAAACTTGCTCGGTAGCTCACCTGGTATAACACTTGCGATGTAGAGCATTGAATTTAACAGGTTTTATTCAAACATATTACATTAGAATGCTTTATCGACTACCGCCTGCAAATCACAAAGTATCACACAATTATCACAAAGTATTGCTCTTAGCAAAATACTTTGAAAAGAAAAGCACTGTTGTTATGCTTTTATGATTAGATAACATCGTTTTTTTAATACACGCTCTGACAAGCCTGTAATCTAAGCTTATTATTAATGAAAACCTTGTTGAAACGTTTACATACACTAAAAATATACGTTTCCATCTTATTTTTTTACTTCTTTGGTCAAGCTCCGCCCCCTTCCTATTATTCGCAACTTGGACCCAGCGATTTGAAACCGCACAAACTACTATATTGACTTAACAGACCAACAACAACCCCCAAAATCCAGGTCTTCACGCCTTATATCTTCCCACGCAAACGAGAGCAGGAAAAACGACACAAACCCATATTTCAGTAAGTCTATCACTGTCTAAAATCTGAAACGGGCATGATGGAACCGTCAGCAAGTCATGTTAAACATCCAAATGATGGCTAAAAAGTTACAAGCCTCCCAGCACTCCAAACGCCCCTTGAGCATACCTGGTTAGAGACAGATGACCCCAGCCATTGTTGTCCTTCTTATCCGCATCTTTTCAGCCGTGTCACAGAATGAATCGCGTATCTGTTTACCTACTGCAACCGTAATGTGCAGAAACGCATACATGCGCTCGCCTTCTCTAGTTACCGAGCGCGCTGCTCAGAAGTTTGCGCGCAAGACTAGACACAATCGCATGATCAGCGAGTTTGCAGCCGAATGGATTGAGTTTATATAAATAGATTACAAGTTAAAAAAAGTATGATGAACTGTTACAATACCTTATTTAACAATATACAGACACCCTCAAAACAATCGTCCTCAGTTCCGACTCATTCTCAGTATTCCATGATTTGGAGGAAGCTTGAAAAGTATGCCATGTCCTTTTTAGTCTCTATTCCCGGAGAAAGTACAGTTCGCTCAATGAAAGAGCCCGAGAGTGAGTGTGTGAGGGTGTGTGTGTGTGAGTCGAGCGCCCCTCCTTTCCGCGCTTTGCCCCATCAGCTCTGTGCGCGCTCACCTAGTTGTGAACAGAGCCAAGTCTGCGCTTACATCACACATTACAATGGTGACTTCAAATCCCTATTACTCTCCACTAAAAATACCTGGTGGATAATCACACAAATAGAAATACGTCTGTGACTTAAAGGTTGCAACGTCAAATGGCTCCTAAACTGAAACAGAGGGACTTTGTTTCATGCCATTTTTAACTTTATGCAAAGTTTTCTTTTAATTCATTAGATTAGATAATGAATATCATGGTCTCTGTTTCATGTATTTGTTTTATATTTGTGTCAAATTGTATTGGCGGTTTTCAAATAAAATCTTTAATATTCTAAACTAAAATCTAAATTAAATGACAAAAAAACAAAATGTGAGCAACACTCCCTGGTCTCTCCTAGTTTTGATTTAGTGTGAGGTGGAGGACAGGTGAAGGCTTACACCGTTAAACTAAATGCTAAACTCCTCGTGTTGTTGTGTGATTCAGCGCTTTCCTGCTGATAGTGTTCAGTGATCAGCAATGTTTCAGCTACAGAACACCCATACAAAATAAAGACAGAAACATTCAGAACATCTCATATGGCACACATTCAATATGTTATGCCCTGATTAATGCAGGACTGAACAGTTAAAGATAGTCACCAGCCCCACCTTTACAAGATATGCTTTCATACGGTTTGTGCAATTATTTGTTAATAATAGGTCTGTGTTACGTATTGTAAAAGCAAATGATAGACCATACAAATAAGACACACAGAAAAAAGGTTGGTCAAGTGTATGGATGACTGGGCACTAAACCAATCAAAATTCCTCTCTCTCTCTCTCTCTGTGTGTGTGCGTGTGTGTGTGTGTGTGTAAACCCGCCTACACTGTTACAAACTCACACACACACACACACACACATTCTGCAGCCAAGTACTCTCATTCTTGAAAAGCTGTCAATCACTTCCATTGTTCTGCTTTGTAGGTTTTTAAGAGCAGGTGAGAGGCCTTTTGTTTTCAATCAGAGTAAACACACGAAACACTCCCTCACTCACCCACTGTGGGGAGGCGTTCAGCCCCTGCCCCCACCTTTTCTCTTTAATACCCCCTGGGGCAATCCAAATAACATTCCACAGGCCCACTGAGTGGATGAGTATGGGCAAAACAAGTGAAAAGAGAACAACAGAGCGAAAGAGTGTTTTTTATAGTTCTTCATATTACAATCTCAATATCACAAAATGATACATCCAAAAGTGTTATGTATATAAATTATCCCATGTTGTGCTAAGGAAAATAGTGTTATATTATACCATAAATATACACACTACCGGTCAAAGGTTTGGAATAATCTTATGCTCACAAAGGCCAAATATATTAAGATAGAAAACAGTTATTTTATATATTTCACAATATTACAGAATACTTTACATTTTATAAAATTTTTGAACAAAAATACAGTAAACTGTAATACTGTGAAATATTATCACATTTTAAAATAACCATTTTCTATTTTAATATATTTCAAAATGTAATTTATTCCAGTGATGGCAAATCTGACTTTTCAGCAGCCATTATTTCAGTCTTTAGCGTCACATGATCCTTCAGAAATCATTCTAATAAGCTTATTTGCTGCTCAGGAAACATTTGTTATTATCAATGTTGAAAACAGTTGTACTTTTTTTTTTGTGGAAACCGTGATACACCACCATTTAAGAGTTTGGAGTAAGTTTTACAAAAAAAAGTCACAAGGACACATTATATTGATAGAAAGTGAGAGTCAAGTAAGATTTCTTTTACAAATAAATGCTGTTCATTTTGACATTCTTTTCATCAAAGAATCCTTAAAATGATTTCTGAAGGATCATTTGACATTGAAGACTGGAGTAATGATTGCTGGAAATTCAGCTTTGCAATCACATGTATATGACATTTTAAAATATATTAAAATAGAAATCACTTATTTCAAATTGTAATCCCATTTCACAATATTATGGTTAATACTATATTTAATCAAATAAATGCAAAAAGAGACTTCTTTAAAAAAATCCTAATTATCCCAAACTTCTGACCAGTACTGTATATACAGGTGCATCTCAATCAATTAGAATGTCATGGAAAAGTTCCATTAAGATCTGGTCAGTGCTAAACTTTTCTTTGTCACTTTTCCTAAACATTCTGACTTGAGTGTGAAACTGAACAGAAAATGGAAATTTTAGGGCATGGCCTGACAACAAAAATGTGTCAGTATGATATATGGCACAGACTTCAGTTCTCACCTCAGGCAACAACGGCTGGGCACAAGCACTGAAAATGGATTCTTTCGGCCAAAGGGGAAAAATATAAAACAAACTTCCACCTGTTCAGACTGAGAGGTCAATCTATTTACAACCTTTTTAAGTACGCTGGGGCTCTAGAGTTTGGTTGGTTTTGGGGTCACAGCAAGAAATAATATCCAGCTTTTTCAGTATCCAGCTTTTTAATATAAATATTATTTGGCATTTAATGAATGGAGCTAATATTATGAGTCTGCTGAGAGATGATCCCTGTGGTCATTATTGAAGAATGTTCAGTGTAAGGACACTGAATCTCATATTGAATACACACATTGAATATGGTTTATATTGAGAAATGCGTCATTAGCTGCAGAAACTGCTAATTTTTCATTGGTGTTTTTCGAGAAACTACCTCTTTTCTTCACTGTATGGTCTCTATCAGATATTTAAAGCCACCAGGTCACACAGACCTCAAGATCCGGAAACAAAGAAAACCTGTGGGCAACCTTTGGCTGACCTACTGAAGATCAATAGATAACACATACACAAGACACTGTTACAACAATTAGATAAATTCAGTGGCTCTTACTATAATTTTCAGTTTTAATGTTTCTTCCAGCTACTACCTGCAGGCAATAAAACTGCAGCAGTCTCCATTCAGCCACTGGTTAATGATCATATACATATTTTTTATTATTTTCCCGTTATTGCAATGTTGCATATTTGTATTGCACATAACACTGCACTATTTTTATTCATCTGTTTCAGTCATGTGACTTTTATGCTCATATATATATATATATATATATATATATATATATATATATATATATATATATATATATATATATATATATATAGCCACTGTTTGTAAGCCTCTGTTTTTGAATTGAAGAGAAAAGTGTGCATTCATACAGCAGAAATGTCATTTCAATGCCAACAGTCACATCTTTTCCTGATTATAAATGCATGTTAGAGTTTTTATAAGCCTTCAAGTTTCTGCAGAAAGTATTGCATAGGTGGCTACACGCTCATAAAAAAGGTACAAAAGCTGTCACTGAGGCGGTACCTTTTCAAAAGGCACACCTTTGTACCTAAAGAGTCCATATTGGTACCTTAAAGGTACATATTAGTACCTAAAGTGTGCATATTAGTACCTAAAACGTACAAAAGTGTACCTTTTGAAAAGGTACCGCCCCAGTGATAGCCTTTGTACCTTTTTTTCTGAGTGTGTATAATATGACATATCTGTCATTCAACTTTGTTTATGATGCTAAATACACCTATTTACACAAATCTGCTTCACATACCTAGTTCAGATACATTAGTGGACAAATTCTGGACTTTTGGAGCCAACATTGACACAACAAACAGTATTGACAGTGGTCTTCACCTGTTCTCGGAGTCTGTCCTGGTGGCCCATGATGGCGGAGGCGTGGTGTGGGTATTTCTGCTTCAGATGTTCCAAAAAGGCCTCTCGTTTTTTATCCATATCGGATGGCTGCATGGCCAGGATCTCCTGTGAGCTGCGTGCTCCACCCACCGTGTGTCTTCGTAGAACCCCTGCGCGGCTGGATTTGGCCTCACAGCGGTTACCAGGGCTGTTAGCGGAGACAGCCTGTTGTTTACGGGTCAGGTGCTCAGAGTCTTCACTGGAAGTCACCTTTAGATTCCCCTTCAGAGGTTCTATGGAAAAAAGACAGAGATACAATGGAATGATTAGAGAAAAGTGGGAAAATATGAGAATGTTTCCTTGTGGACCTCATATACGTACACACACACATGCTAAATAAAGACAGATGATTCTCAGATGGAGCTGTCGGGACAAGATTTATTAAATAAAGATGTCAAGTTGATCATCCCCAAGCTTAAGTTTCCAAAAGCTGAAGGAAGCAAACATGTCCTAACAAAGCTAAATGTGCGCAACACTCTAGCGCTGAATGTTTACTTATATCAAATGTGACACGCACACCAACAAGACACGCACATCAACATATAATTTGAAACGGTAGATACACTTTCTTAGAATGGAATAAAACTGAATGCTGAAGTAACACAAAAACATTCAGTCATATTTAGTTAGTCTCATGGGCACTAAAGGAATCGCAGAAGTGCAGAGGAAAAAAGACTGTGTCAGCGAAACTACTGTTGGGAATGACCTGCCTCTCTGATGTATTGCCCCCCTATGTGAAGCTGGCACACAGATGTTTGTACCTAACATGGGCATTTTTTCTCAATAACAGGCACTTAAATGGAGTTGAGATATGGCCCAATTGGGATTCATTGTTTACTTCATATATAAGTTGAGAAATAGTAGGCTAACGTTCACTTTAGTGCAACGCTCTGTTGTATACCATAAAAGCTCATTAAAAGATAAATAAATCTCCCAAAGCGTAAAAGTGTAAGGTTGAGAAATCCTGAAACCCATCCTCCTCCCCCGTATGCGTAGTGTCACAGGACAGCAATCTACCAGCTCTATTTATAACTGCTAAGCTATACACACAAACACTTGTACACACAATCTCAAAGTCAACAAGAAAATCAAGAAATCCTGTACATACAACAAACATTCAACCCTGTCATTGCATCCTTGCTTTATCACGTCTACATCAGCGTCATGGAGCCCTTACCTTCCCCAGACAGGTCTGTCCTATTCCCTTTCCCAAGTTCTGCCATGCTCTCCAATACAATGACCCTATAGACACTGGATTTAAGAGTCTGTCTGTGGAGAGCAGCTGTTGGCCAGATTCCACAGCCTCTCACATGAGTGAAAGACACTTTAGCAGTTTACTTTAATGGAGTCTGGATTACTCCTGACTCTTGTGATCAACTCTAGAAACTTGCCAATTGAAAACACCCCGCTGCATGCTGAGTGTGCGGGTGTCTGTGAGTGTGTGTGTGTGTGTGTCCTCATTCCCAGACCTAAAAAGGTGACAGTGACGTTAATGTTCCCATGTAAAGCTTAGTGAGGGGCCCTCGCCAACAGGTGCTAGATCCAAACTTCCTCTCTCCTTCTCTCATTCACATTTTCTCACAATGTTCTCACTGTATGTTAAGCACTTTAAGGTATTTATTTTTGACTAAATAAAGTAAGAACATTTGTCAATACTTTGCTCTTTTCCAACAAAAGGTCAGTGAAAGGAAGAGCTTAACCCTTCAGAAAATGGTATCAGGAAGTCTAACTAAATGTTATAGCATGTTTTATGTGTTTTAAACAGTGTATGAGGTTTGCAATTTGTGCAGAACTGTTTTATGAAGTTTTTGTCTACCACTTCTTTTTTTTTTAAGAAAAACCTTTTGCCAGTACAGTCCATTGAACGTACTCTACATTTATCACTCACAGCCTCATTTTCTTTCCTATCAAAAATTAAATATGGCGCTACACTGACTAAGGTCTATTGACATTAAATTAACATAACACTTAAATAAAATATATTACATTAACAGGGTTGCAAGTAACAGGGTTACATTTTTATCCTAATTTAAGTTATTAACAAGTACAGAATATGTAACGTGGCACCGAATGTTGGTTACTAATTATTGAACTTTAATCGATAAAATATTTCTCATAAATTAAACAAACAAAAAAATCCTTTAAAAAAAAAAAGCTTTGGTAACAGGGTTGAATAGTTAGAGTTTACAGATTTCTCACATGTTTAAAACGAGGTACTTTTAATGCTATAATATGCATATAACGCTTCTTTGTGTAAAGAAAATTGCATTTGTGCCTTTATTACTTTAAAACATAACTAGTTGTATGCTTGTACCGTATTTGTGCAAAATTCTTCCTGTTGCTGCATATAAAAGTCAAATACTCCTGTTTTTTTGCCTGAAAGTGTGTCTAATGTGAAGTGATTGTGAGAGAACTCTTATCCAGTCCAACAGCTGAATGTGGGCGGCTGCTCCACAGTTTCACGACAAGTAGATTACTCAGTGAAGGGTATTTTTAAATGTTTCAAATATCTTCTATAATCCTATTCAAGTCTGTCATTACATCAAAGAGGCATAAGAATATTTATGTCTTTGTGTGGACGCATGCAGTGTGTAATTCATAATAGTTCAGTCAGCTCAGACAGACAGATGAAAACGAATGCATAACACATGGAAAGGAAAGAACCTCTTGTATGCTCTTGTAAGTCTTATATTGTTGATTTGTTAACTAAACACTATTCCTCACGTCAGGGTATAGACGCCATGTTTTATTTGACATGCCTATGAGAAACAGAAGTACAGTTCATTCGAGAGGTTGTACTACTCTATCTTGCATCAGTTTTTCACCCAACAAAACACTGAAAATGTGTATTTCTAAAAATATCCAATGTAAAGTGAACTCTTCATGTTAAAGTCTCCTTTCTAACCATATTGTCTTATATTTTGTCATTTTTAGGTCATGTATATGTTTTAACATGTTGCTTGCAAGTTTTAGAATCTTGATAGGCATTGTTAGCATGTAGCTATCAAAGCATTGCTAGAATGCTTTAACTTGTTGCTAACATGTTGATAGGCATAATCTAGAGCCAGATTACATTAAAACTGTTTGACAGATGGAGTCCCATTTGAGCAGTCCGCCAATGCAAGTCTATGGGAATTTTGGCCTATTTGGAAGTCTGTTAGAATTTCATGAGTTGGCTCAGTTAGAAAAGATACAGCAACATGAGTCAGACCAACCCAGAGGTTTGTGCCAGGTTTGGTTGATCTAGCTTGAAAGCTTTAAGAAGTGTTAGAATCAGAAGAAAATGCAACAATTAAATTTAGCTTGATATGCCACAATGCATTTTCTTAACTAAACACATTATTTGTCTAACTGCAATTTTTCAAATCATACAAATAATGTATTTTAAATACATTATTTCATAGAATGACCCTGTTACAGTGCATCACAAACATCCCATGGAGTCACTGAGGACATCAACCAAACTCTTTTAGTCATCCTCCCATTTTGAAAAAACAAAGTCAACCTATCAACTTCATAAAAGTCGTCCAATTATTACAAGCCCAAAATACTTAATTAATAATTTCTCAGACCACATTGCTAAAACTGCCCGGTCCTGCAGATTTGCTTTATACAACATTAGGAAGATCCAGGCTGGACTATTGCAATGCTCTCTTGGCAGGTCTTCCAGCCGCTTCTGTCAAACCTCTACAATGAATCCAAAATGCTGCTGCAAGATTAATCTTTAATGAGCCGAAAAGAACGCATGTCACACCTCTGTTCATCAATTTGCACTGGCTACCAGTGGCATTAATGTTTGCCTACAAAACCTCCACTGGCACTGCACCCATTTACCTAAATTCATTACTTCAGAGTTATGTGCCCTCTAGAACCTTGCGTTCTGCAAGCCAACGGCATATTATTGTGCCATCTCAAAGAGGCAAAAAATCACTTTCACAGACTTTTTCATTAACTGTTCCCTCCTGGTGGAATGACCTGCCCAAATCAATCCGAGCAGCTGAGTCCTTAACCATCTTCAAGAAACGACTAAAAACACATCTGTTCCTCCTTTATTTGACCCTCTAAGTCTAACACTTTCTATTCTATTTTAATTCTACTTTATCTATATTTATCTTCTTTTTAAATTTATTTTTATTTTTTTAAAACAACAAAAAACAAACAAACACTAGCTTTCTATTTTTTCTATTCTATCTACTTGTTTTTCTTTGTGTGTGTGTGTGTGTGTGTGTATATCATAACTGACCAAACTTTGCATGATAAAACATGATACTTTCTGGACAGTCAGCCATGACTGTCATCAGTTCCTCTCACACCTACCAAAGCACCAGTGACCTTCTGCAAGATGTTGATTAAGCTCTTCCTCATCACACATATTCCCCATTGCTTACTTTTCTCCAAACCACAAGCCTAAACAGCACAATTCTCATGTTCCAAACCATACAATCCTCATCTTCCGATAAAAAAACTCACACTGAGCAATGCTAAGGAAGTATAACCACATCCCTCGCTCTATCCCCTGTAAAAACACTTTTTATTTTCATTCCAGTCCTCTTCACCTCCTTTAACTTGCGATTACTGGTCACAGGACACAATGGTCTGACACTGGGCTGTAAACCGAACAGGGCATGCGTCTTTAGTAAAGAGATGTGTATGTGTGTGTGTGTGTATCCTGGTTCGTTTGGGGTCAGTTGTGTAGGGTTGTGCTCAGTAATGGATTTATGGAGGAATGTGTATCTGTGTGCTACGACTCATAAGCTTACATCTCCTCTCTCTAAAAACAATGTACATCTCTCTCTATCCCCTCTCTCTCATGGTTGGACAGAGCTCTTTTGTGTGGCTGGAGATATTGTGTTACTGCAGACAGTGACTGACTAAGGGATGATAGTGCCATTTAATAAGTGAATCTTGCACACAATTTTACATCATACGCACATAATTTTACGCACACCTCACAAAACTGAATTCTCCAAAATATGATAATCCTACTATTAATTTGTGTTCAAAAAGTATATTTAATAAACTAAAATCAAGTTCATTTTGACTTGTAAAGTTGTAATGTTTTTTTTAATCATTATTTATTTTATATTTTTTGACTTGAGGAGTGTTCAGGAAACATGTTTGGAAGCAATCATTATCTTTGCAATTCCATTTGGTGGTGCTAACTGCACACACACATACACACACACACACACACAATTCTCTACAGATTGTTTACTTTCTCTACACCACTAAT